CTATGCTGTTGTTACTGGGATTAGACCAAACGGGAGAGTGCTTCTAGGTCCACCAAGTGCTGTGCAAAGGCGAGGGGCCGGGGTTACTGCTGTCATCAGGCACTGTGGCAGGCAGCCAGCTGCTGGTGGTTAATTATTTATTTGGACTGATCTTTCTGCCCTTACTGGACTGTAAGCTCCTAAGAAACAGGAACTGACTTACACATTTCTGGGTCTCTGACAGGCCCCCATACTGTGGGCTCTCACTAGGTATCTATGGCATCAGTGCTGGGCCCTGACCTGACTGCACCCCTGTTATGTATTTCCTGCCTTCTCCTCATGCCCTGTCAAGGAGAAAGTACCAAGAGGTGAATTCAGCACACAAAGGCAGATGCCAGTGAGCCCCTCATGCGACCCTCCTCCATTCCCCACACTCCCAGTAAGGGCAAGAAGTAGTCATTTGAAAGATGTCACCTCACTGTGGGTCAGTGTGGCCCACCTGGTCCTGACACCATAACACTGAGGAAAGATCAAGTCTGGGATGTGGAGGATGCCCAGCACCTCTAGCCCAGAGTGAGGGTCAGGAGGGTTGATTTGCAGAAGGCATGCTCATATGCACTGAGCTGTCCGCTGAAGGCAGATGTTACCTCAGGTGGTGAGCCCCCTGTCACAGACGGCATGCAAGCCCAGACAGCACAGTGATTTGCCAGGGAGGTAGACTTGGATGGAAGAACAGCTTCTGGAAAACACTTCTGGTACCCGCCAGTCTAACTCTTTTGTGCTCCAAAGCCTGCTAGAACTTCGGGGGACACAGGCCCAGGGCTAGCATGGCCATACCTACCTCACAGCCATCAAATAGGATGGGAGGGGTTCTGCCCTAGGACCCATTTTACAGATGAGGAGACTGAAGTCCAGCAGTGACTGCTACTGGCCCCAAAGCAGCCTGCCAGCTACAGTCCTCTCCCTCCTCTCTTCAGGTAATGGGAAGACTTGCATAATCACAGTGGGTTTCTGGAGTCTTAACCCAGAACCTGTGCCTGGGACTGGTTTTCTGTTTCTCTTCATCCTCCCTGAGGGCAGGGCCCAACCTCAGAATCACCTCTAGAGCTTAAGCCAGGAAGGCCTTGCCTTCCCTCCCCCATCCTCAGGGGCTCTAAGGGACAAAGAGTCCCCCTTGGAGGGTGTGGACAGAGGCCACCAGTCATCAGGCCACCAGTCACCAGGCAAGGCTGCAGCAGGGGTCCAGGGTAATTAAGGCAGCCCAGGCTTTGTTGTCCACACAAAACTTAAGGAACCTCATAAAGATGAAGTAGTGATAGGGGCCAGGCAAGGGGCCTTGGGAACAAAGTTATGAATGAAAACGTATGGGACAGTCACGACCTGGCAGGCCCTGCTTCCTGGTTCTCTGACAGAGTGCCCAGAGAAGCTTCCGGAAATTAACTTGTTGGTGCCCAAGTCTCTTACAGCAGCATCACACCCTGAGGCTAGGGTCACAGTTGCCTGCTGGACCCAGGCCAAGGCCAGAGAACTTTGTATTCGTGGCTTCACACACGGGTACTCTTGTGACAAAATACTCAGAACACAGCAGGCCTCCAAGTATCTGCCTTCCTTATCCATCCCCCATCTCTGTCACTCAGGAGGAAAGTGAAGCTGTAATTCTCAACTGGGTCCTTCTCTCAGCAATTTTCCAGGTAGAGACCTGTCCTATGTCAAAGCCCATCTCAGGGGGTATGGTAGGTGGTGGTGGTGGGGGGCGGTCAACAATGGATATAAAACCCCAAATCAAAGGTGTATGAAATCTTAAAACTCTGAAGAAAACACCACCTTCCTCCAAATGCATTCCTTTGGTTCCGAAGTAACACACATTCTATGGCAGATAGGGTTTTCAATGTGTTCCTGGGGATAGGGGGGAGAGAGAGAGAGAGAGAGAGAGAGAGAGAGAGAGAGAGAGAGAGAGAGAGAGTGTGTGTGTGTGTGTATGGGGGAGCAGGGAGGGAGAGAGAGAAGCCCTGACTCTGTGGCCAAACTCCACAGTCTCTGGACCTTTCTCCACTTTGCTCCTGGCTGTGAACAAGGCTCCTCCTCCACCTCCCCCCTTTCCTTAGGAGGAAAAAGGGACATTTTGTCCCCACAAAGAAGCCAGAAATCCTTTTTTTGCACAGACAGGGTTAGTTATCAAAGTTTCCCCAGCAATTTCTTATTCCCAGTTCTTCTCTGTGAACCATACCCTGAATGCCTCAAAACCCCAATCCAAAAGCCATTTCAAACTCTTGAAAACTCCCTACTGCTCCACCCAACCCCCCACCCCCAGTCTCCCACCTCCATCCCCTAGTCACTGCCACCAACCATCAGAGTCTAAAGTTTTGAGGTTTACATGTGAAAGCAGCATTTCATAACCTCGTGACTTGGGACAAGGAGATGCTTCTGTCCTTCTGGGACAAACAAAAACCCAATCAAAATCATAAAGCTCAGAAGAAAACACCATCTCCCTCCAAATGCTTTCCCTTGGCCCCAAAGTCACACGTGCTCTGTGGCAGATAGGGCTTTCAATGTGTCTTTTGTTTGATGCTGGTGTTTCAACATCCTCAACTTGAAGACAGAAAGGTCAGCATAAGGCTTGGGGCATTCACAAACCTCGCCACCAGGGCCAGGCAGCAGGCAAGCCAGCAGCCAGGAATCCTCCTATTCTGGACCCTCTCAAAGAGCAGCCAGGACAGAGAAAGTTAGAAGCGAGAAGGCTTGCTCCTTCAGCTAAACTTCCCTGATCATTTGCTAGCAACTTTTCAACTCTGAAAACCTTACAAATGCCAGGGAAGGCAAATCAGAATTCACGCGAAGCCCAGCCGCCCATTCTTCAGCCCCAGTGCCTGCCTCTTTATCTCTACCTTCAAAAAAAAAAACAATAATAAGCAAACTCAGGCACCTCTGGGAACAGCCTCTGGCCTCCAGCCCTTCCCAGTGTAACCCGCCTGTCCTCACACCCACGAGGGAGGAGGAGACCGCACTGGTTAACCCTCTAGTCTACCAGGCTCTGTTCCCAGGTTGCAGCAGGGAGACAAACTGTTGCTCAAGAAAATCCTCCAGAAAACCCTTGGCACCAGGAGGCAGCTCCTAGCAGCTCTGCTCAGTGCCAAGCAGGGGCTCTGAGGGGCGGCTTCCCACTACCCTTTTAAATCTGAGGGGTTGGGCCCTGCTCTGCCATGCCCTGGGCAGTCCACCCAGGGGGCTCCAAATGGCAGAGCAGGGAGGAGGAAAGGCTGGCCCAGCAGTGCCCTCACCCTGCCAGCTTCTTGGAGGACCTCTGAGAGAACATTTGTTTGGGCTGCCAAGTTAAATCTTCCTCCCTCATGTCAGGGCATTGGAAAAGCAGCCAGGGGAGTGGAGAAGAGGAGGGGGTGGAGCAGCAAAGGGAGGGAGAGGGAGGGGGGTGGTGGGAGAGAGGACCGCAGGCTCTCAGAGCCCCAGTTACTCGGGCACTGCTGCCCAGGAAGCGGCTCCCAGGCACAGCCAGGACACTGGGCACCTAAGCAGAGGTCCAGCCGTCAGGCCTCCAGGGTCAGGAGCCAGGTACCAGGCGCCCTTGGCCCCTGCCCGAGGAGAGGCCCTCGCACGGTGCCTTGCTGGAGGGGCAAGGGAGAATAGGGAAGAGACTAGAGGAAAAAGTTTGCGGCAGGGCAGGTAGAGGGGTAAGGCAGGGCGGCCCTGCAGTCGGGCGGTCCCCCGGGGAGGGGTGGGGGGCCCGGGCCCGCTGCCCTGGCGCGCTCCCGCCCGGGTTGTTTACATTCCTGGAGTGTCTTTTAAACCCCGGGCTAAGGCCGGCTCCCGGCCTTCTCCGGCGGCGGCTCCGGGGCAGTCTCCCGTGAAAATCTGCTGGCGCACAATGGCCGGGGAGGCGACCGCCCCTCGCCCGCGCCCCCGCTGCTCCGGGGCGGAGAGCCTGCCCTCCGCACCGCGCCCTCTCCCCGCCCGGCGGGCTTCCTGGACAGATGTCCCCGGCGAGGGGGCGATGCGCGCCCGCTGCCCGCGCCCCAGACGCCGAGGCCGTGCTCCCCACTGTTTTCTGCCCAGTCCAGACGCCAGGAATGTGGAACAAGCTTCCAGATCCCGCCCCCCCACCCCAGCTCCAGTCTTGGCCCCCCAACCTCCTCCCGGGCCGGCCTCCCACTCCCCCGGGGCCGTCGCAGCCGGAGACCGAGAGGAAGAAAGAACACGGGGAAATTACTTTCATATTTGCAACGCGCGCGCGCACACACACGCACATCTTCCCTCCGGGCTACCCTCCCGGCCCGGGCAGTCCGGTCCAGGCGTTGGCCTTAATGCCCCCCGGGCTTCCAAAGACCTACCACGGGAAGCCCCTGCACATACCCCTAGGCGTTCCCGGATGGCACGGTGCGCCGCGTCTCCCCGAGCAATTCACACACAAACAACTTAACCGCGCCCCCACCTCGCATTTACAAAAGTGTGTGTTTTCTCTGGAAATTCAGATGCACAACTTAACATTACCACCCCTTGCCACCCCGAAATCCGGCGCCTCGCTTGGCGGCTGTCGTCCACACCGGCGCGCAACTTCGTGTCTCCCCCAAGGGAGACGAGGAAGACCGCGAGGGTCCTTCCCCGGTCCTTCCCTCGCTCGCTCCCTCCCTCCCCGAAGCTCGCTCCGGCCCGGCCCCGGGTGTCCAGAACCAGGGCTGGAGGCGCGCGGGCAGGAGGCGGACACCCGGTCCGCGCGCGCACCACCGCGCTCCTGCCCCGCACGGCCAACCCGCCCCGGCCCCCGCGCGCAGCCCGAGCCGGCTCCGCGCAGCCCGGCGTCCGCCGTCGCCTGGGCCTCGGCCCCCGCCCGCCAACGGGAGCGCAGCGCAGCCGGGCAGCCGGCCGCACGCTCGGCTCTCCCGGCCTCGGCGGACGCTTCCAGGGAAAAGCCCCAGCGCCCGGCGCCTCGCGCTCCTACCCCAAGAGTCCACGGGCAGCGAGAGGAAGGCCCGGGGCCAGCGGGCGCCCGGGTCTGTCCCCAAACTTACCCGGCGCTGCGAGCGCTGCTGCCGCCGCTGGAGGACGCGCCGCCGCTGCTGCCGCCGCTGCCCGGCAGGGCCAGTCCGGGCCGGGAGCCGCGCGGCGAGGGTGCCGGGATCGGCGCTGCTCCGGCCGCTGCTCCGCGCAGACCCGGGCGAGGGTCACCGCGCGGCGCCGGCGCTGCTCGCCCGCCCGCCCGCTCGGCCGTCCGACCGCTGCCCGCCCGCCCGCCGCCCGGCCGCTCGCACTCCCGGGCGCCCGCCGCCGCTCGCTTTTTAATGTCCACAGACAGTGAAAAGGAACTCGGCGTTAGGGGGTGAGTAAGTGAATCAACTCGCCCGGAGCCGAGCAAGTTGAAGTGTCAGATTACATTGGCTATTCTATTTCCAAAGGGCCCCGCGCCGCCGGCCGCCGGCAAAAGCCGGCGCGGAGCCGCGGACGGAGTGGAGTGCCGCGCTCCCGGCGCCGCCGGCGCTCGGCTCGGCTCGCGCCCTCCGCGCGCTCTCCCGGTGCCTTTTCGCCTCTTGCTGGTTCTCGCCTTTTCTTTCCCGTCGTTTGCGCCGTCGCTTCCCCGCTCCTCGGTCGCGGCCCTTTGCGAGCGTTCCCCGGCTGCGGCTTTGATGGGCTTCACGCGTCACCCCCCAGTCACTCACCTCCCTCTGCTCTCCCCCTCCCTGCGCTACTCCCTGCCCGTCCCCCGCCTACCCACCCCCCCCACCCCTTCCTCCGCCCCAGCAAGTTTGGAGTAGGAGAGAAACGCTGAGCCCTGGAAGGGACCCATTTGGAAGGGGGGGTGGCGGGGGGGCGAACCTCCCCCGGCTCACCGGACCTCCCCCCGACTGGAGTGCACTCGGGGCCACGAACCTGTCAGGTACCCAAATTGGGGGTTGAGCGCATTGCTGACAGTGCCGCCACCCAAGGCTGCCCCTGAAGGAGACTTTGGGGGTTTTCATCAAGCCCGGGGATTAGCGGATGGGACGAGCAAAGGACACCCCTCCATCCCACCAAGGGAAATTTTGGGGGAGACTGGAGTGCGGTCCCCCGACGACTGGGAAGGAACGGGGATCTCTCTCTGTCCCCGGGACCCTGCGCCGTCCAGCGGCGCGAGGGTTCCCCGAGGTCCGAGGAGGAGCGCCCAGGCGGGGTGGGGGCGAACGGACCCGGTCCCCCCTCGATCCCGAGGGGACCCAGCCATAAGCCTCGGAGAGTGATGGCACTCACACGGAGCAGCTGCGTGGCCCGCCGGCGGGGGGTCGTCTCCCACCCCCGGGAGCATGTAAGTACGCACCCTCTTTGGCTCACGTCCACTGCCACTCACACAGAAACTCCTACACAAACGGCACCGACATTCGCGCCCACCCTCAGGATGGCAAACACGCGTGCACACTCACCAACACGCGTCCACGCTCCCTCCCAGTTATGCCCATGCACACGGCCACAGCACACACTCAGGCATACAAGCAATTGTGCACACACGCTGCTTACAAACCCGCACAGTGCAAAAACAAAATAACAAATGTTCCTCTGTGCTCTGCAGCCTCACGTTCACGTAGACACACAAACACATGACCTTCCCCCCACTTCCTCTTCCACACCCCTTCCTCAAGCTCCCCGCATTCGTCCCAAATCACAACCAGCGCCCGCGCGGCCGGGGCTGGACACCCGCGCGCACGCACGCGCTCCCCTCCCCGCACCGGCGGGGGAGGCTTCGGGGCCCCGCGCCGGCTTCGGGTTCCAGGTGTAGCGGGAATTCCGCGCTCCGCGTTTTGCAGGCCGCCGCGGTGTCGGAGGCGAGGCGAGCAAGGGAGCTGGAATAACAAAGGCAAGTTGGGGAGAGCGCAAGGGGGCGCAGCCTTGGCCGGGCCGCGGGGGGAGCCCTGCTCGGCCCGGGCTGGGGAGGCTGCGGGGTCTCGGGCGCGTGGAGCTGGAGGTGGGGAGGGTGGGTGGGGGTCGAGGGGCGGGGCCGCGGCGTGACGTCAGAGAACAATGACACCGCCGGGGGCGGGCACCCGCGGGCTGCCGGGGCGGGGGTCTCCCCCGGGGCCCGAGACGAGCGGAAGACGTCCGGCCCCGGCTGGGGCGGCCGCCTGATGGACGAGGCCCGCTTGGGAGCGCGGACGTGCCACGCAGACTCGCAGATCGCCCCGACCTCCTGGGCAGTGATCAGCGCCGACCAACGCGGGGAGCAGGCCGGAATACCCCCCACTCCCACCTCCATTTTAGAAACATCGTTCTCTGACCTCGGCTTGAACTCCTTCGGAGTCGGCGAGATCATTCCTAAACGCCACCGAGGAAGAGGAGGCCAAATGCATTTGTCAGCCCTGAATTCATTCTCAAGGCTACGCTAGTCTGACAGCCAGCGAACTCAGCCTGGATTCCTGAGGGCTCAGAGGACTGCAGCTCAGGTCCACAGGGGCATGGGGGGGGTGGGGTGCCGGGAACCTGTTCGATTTCCCCCCCGGGGAAATTCGCCTCCCTCTGTTGTGGATGCTAGGGAAGGCACCCATTTCTGGGCCTCAGTCTCTCTGTCACATGGACTGTTATCAGGCTGCTAGTTTGCACAGGTGGGAATCCCTAGGGCTGGTGGATGGTATGAAAACGCTTCCAGACCTACAGGGGCACCACGGAGGCGTGGTCCTAGCACATTCCTGTGGGAGGGATCCCCTCTTCCCCAGCCTCTGGGTGGCCCAGGTTCATAAGTAGGGACTAGGGGACAATCTGAGAAAACCTTGAAGGCCTGACCTAGGGCTGGATGTGGGAATTCAGCTTGCTGAATGGTGATTGGAACCACAGCTGCCTTCCCCAGCCAGCCCCCCAGCAATCCATAGCATTGCAGCAGCCAGATAGCTACCCCCACCCCAGGCCCCAGACCTTAGGGTGGAGTTTCTGGGAATTTAAGGACCTGGAAGGCAAGAATCCAGCTCCAGTCAAGAACTAGACCAATTTCTATTGCCTTGATGACCACCTAGGTCAGGGTGCTCTCTGTGCTTTGTGCTCTCAGCATTTTCTGTCCAAATCCTACTGTGAGTGATGAGGGCTCATCATCTCCTGGAAGTGGGAGATGCAGGTGACCTTGGGGGTGTTCCAAAACTCCTGTCCAGAAGTCATCCCCTCAACCCCCACCCTCCCCTGTTCCCCTTACATTTGGAAACTAAGGAAGCAGCTTCAAAGGGCAGAGGAGCCAAGCCTAGCACTTGAAACAGACCCAACTCTTGTAGCATGGGGCCAGGGGTAATTTCAGCTCTTTCCAACTGGGCAAGCATGACATTTGATGGCAGCAAGTCCAGGAAATCTCACCTGGGCCTTCGTCTGCTGAGGCCTCCTGGGCTCCATTCCTTGGTACTCCGGCCTTTGATGTCCCTGTTCATCTTCAGGGAAGTAACAAAATAGCTTGGATTCCTATGAGGTCTTGGAAGAAACTGTGACTTATTTAGTACCTACCACGCACTGGAAATTGTGGCACTAGATATTTGCTCATTGAATTATCATGTGCTATTATCACCTCCCCCTTTAGCAAAACTGCACTGACTTGCCCAGAGTTGATCAGGATTTGAACTCAGGCCTTTCCTAGCCAAGTTTCCTGCTGTCATCTCTGCCCCAGCTCTGCATCCTTGCCCCAAATCTTTGTGGCCCTAGGCTAGTTGCTTTCTCTCTCTGGGCCTCTATAAACCAAGAGCAAGGCCTCATGGCAGTCTTTGGTCCTCTGTGGGAATTGTGTGTCCTGACCTCTGTGGGTCTAGAGGGCTAGGGGTGAAGCAGAGAAAGGAAAGGGCTTTCAATTCCCAGCCACTGAAAGCTGGAAGACAGATCCTGCTCAGCCAATGCTGAGCCATAAATCACCTGGCTCCAGAGGCAGCGTCAGCACCCATTAGAAGTTTTGGGTTCTATGGGGCCAGCCTGCGGGGTTGGCCTGTACCCACCCTTAGAGCAAATTCAAGTGCTATTAATTTTCTCATGGTCAGGAGCCATCAGCGGGTAAGAAGGCCATTGCTTTGGCCTGGGCTGAGGAGCAGGGAGAAAGCCAATGATAGGAGGCTTTAGGTCCTGGGGCGAGGTGGAGGACCTGTTCAGGGTACGGTGAGTATGGCCCTGTAAGCCAAGGGGCCCTCAGTGGTCTGGGGATTTGGGACTCAAGGGATGAATTCCTGCCTCTTCAGGACTGCTTTCTCTGTCTCCACTCTCCACCCCTCACTCCCCAAAAGGGAGCCAGGGACATCTACAATTGGTACTAACGAGGCAGGAAAAAAGTCACATTTATTGAGCACTTACTGTATGCCAAGTAAGCAGTGTGTTTACACACTGACAGGGAAACCCACATTCTTTCATTTCATCCTCTCCAGAGGCCAAAAGGTGTAATTCCCTCCTGAGGCGCCTCAGGGGCACCTGAAAGAGGCTCAGAGAGGTTAAATGACTTGCTCAGAATCTCATAGCTACTCTGTGAAGCTGGTATTGGACTTCAGGTCTGAACTGGGTCTCAGGGTTGAGAACAGGGATTTGCCTTCAACTCACTACCAGTCATGGAGCAGACAAGGTGACCTGGGACTCAGCTCGAGCAGTCTCTCACCTCCCTGCCAGGAAGCCACCAGGGCCCCTGGGCGGCAGTGGGGTAACAGGAGGACATTTAGTCTTCACTCCTGGGGTAACAGGAGGACATTTAGTCTTCACTCCTTCACTCCAACTCCGGGAGACATTTGGTCCTGGCTCAGTTCTGAGCTCTGCCTCTAGGGGTGGCTGGGTCCAGCAGAGTGGGTGTGCCCTCTAGCACATCAGGCTCCCCTGGCTTGCCTTCCCCCTGTTTTCCAGTCACATCGTCGCCTCTGTTCTCAGAGGCCCCACTTTCCCAGCTTCCAGGCCTAGCCTCTCCCAGGTCCTTCTACCAGGAGTGGATTGTCTAGTTTCCACCATCGAGCCCTGCCCAGAGGTTCCAGACCCAGCTCAGCCACCACCCTCTTCTCCTGGTGGGAGACTGAGAGAATAGACCTAGAGCCTGCCCCTCTGCAGCTGGGACACCTACACCCCAGCCCACCACTGCCAGAATTGCTGTGTGGCTT